TGACGGGGGGGTGGGGGGAAGACGGAGGACAGGCCCGCCCACTACACTGCATCCCAGCCTGGGGCCCTAACAGTGGCCAAAGGCCCGCTACTGTGTCAGTGGGGATCCCGTCGCAACACACTGACATGGGTTCTGGCAGCGTTGCAGACCAACTCAACCCAGGTATCTCCAGAGGGGAAGGTGGTGTCCTCAGGGTGGTCAATCACCATTGGATCCTCTGGGTAACTGGCGAGGGGTAAGTTCAGCAACTCTTCTAGGTAGCTGACGTGGGTAGGCTTGGCAACTCTCCAACACACTGATCCACATCAAATATCGGCCGGTCGGGCCAGTCTCCAAGTCTGCCACTGGTTGCTGGAGTCTCCCCAGCAGGAGCTGGGCCAGAGGCATCTGGCCTCTCCAGCGTCTGCCTCTTGAGTGAGTTCTGGGATTGGGCTCTTATGCTTCCTGTCCGGCACCTGACCCTCTTGGGGGGCGGGCTTGGAGTGCTCTGGCTCCGCCCACTCTGGTGTCCAGCAGAGCTTCTCCCTCTCCAGAGCGGTGGGGAACCACACCAACTCCTTACAGGGCACTTCTGACAAGGGATCAAAAAGATGCATAGGCAGAGCATTTAATATTTAATACAAAAGCAAGGTGGTCTCAGTGGTGTAGATTTGAGAAACATGGCAGCTCTAAGAATTTTTCTTGCTTCTGGATGCCGGCTTGCTATCTCTGACAGTTGGAAATAGGTACCGCTTGGATTTTAGAGTCTGAGGTTTTAGACCAACATTAAGATTTTAGTGTAAGAACACCAGAAAAAATAACTTAACACTATGCCATTCACATAGGCTCTTTATAGATGCCCTGTTCATAAATTCCCTTCTCAAAACAACACAAAAATGTGTTATGAACATATCTGAATCTCTTATTTTAATTAGTACCTCTCACATATCATGTAACTTGATTAAATTTTTCTGAGCTTGGGCGCAGATTTTTTTTCCCTTAGAAACATTCTTTTTTTGTAGAGGAGGCATAAGTGAGTGATGGTTGCCACCTGCTTTGGATATGAGAACCAGGACCTCCCTAGATATTGTGGGGCTACTTGGCTCACTTCTGGTTTTTTTTGTACCCCCTTATGTGTGTGTTGTCTCCTTGAGAACACTGAACAGAAGAAGTTACGCTTTTGGCCATGGAAGAAAGTGCAAGTTTGTAGGTACAGCCAATGAATCTCTTAATATGGAATAATACTTTGGTTTCTTTGCTGGGCTGTGGATGCAAATAGGTCCACTGATAGGTGCATGACCCAGGGCTCACCTCTCCACTTGAAGACCTTAGGTTGCAGACTTCATCTCCCAGATTTATCCTTTGCTTTTTCAACTGATTTTCTTTGTGGTGGTTGAAGTAAAACTGAGGGGTTTTTTTTCCTTCCTCGCTTTTGCCCAGGAACAGAAAATATTAGACATCCATAGCCTGTTGGAACATCTGGTACCTTCTTTCTTGCTGATAAGTCACTTCTAAAGTGTTGCAAGACACCACCAATACATCTTGGTTGATCAGGATTAGAGTTGCAGCTCTTAGGGACTATCTAATTGCTCTGAACCTGAGCCAATGGATACTGTGTTGGAGATCTGTCCCCACCCCCACCATTAGCCTAGGATGAAATTGTTCCCTGTTCTTGAATCTGGCATAGATTTTCTCAA